AATATTTTTCTAATTTAGACATTTTTCATTAAATCAAGATTTGTACTACGATGTAACTTTAAAATGTTTATTTATCTATGTCGATTTCCTTGTTGAGAACGTTGACGTCGGTACGCATACAACGACAGGTCTCTATTCACATACACGACGACTAATCACAATCGACCCGTATAGAAATGATCTCATCGAGAGCGAATGACGAACAGTTCGGGCATAAGGGACTTCCGTTGCATTTGTACGGATTTACACCCTAGTCGCGCCCAAAGATGTTTTACAAATAAAATCCCATCATTGGATTTGGAATGGGAGTAAATATTTAGAAAAATCCAATACCAATTCCCAAACTGAAAATTGTTCTTATGTTGTCTTTTATAAAAATAGCGTTGACGAATTCAAAATATGCTCCAAATATATAACATTTTTAATTCAAACATCTTTTGTTATTCAAGTATTTATAATATAATACCATCAAGTCACCTATATTATAAAATATTAAAATTATTCAGCCTGCAAACAAAATTTTCCCGAAATGGATGCCGAAGACTTCCGTCACCACGGCAAAGAAATGGTAGACTATATATGTTCCTATTTGGAGAACATCGAAAAGTACAGGGTGATTCCTGATGTCGAACCAGGTTATTTAAAAACACTGCTCCCGAGTGAAGCTCCAGAAACAGGCGAAGAATGGACTAAAATTATGGAAGACGTTGAAGATAAAATTATGCCAGGTGTCACACACTGGCAACATCCTCGATTTCATGCTTATTTCCCATCTGGCAACTCTTATCCTTCGATATTAGGAGATATGCTGTCGGATGCCATTGGATGCATCGGATTTTCCTGGGTGAGATATTTGTTGAAGTTATTTTTTTGTGTTTTAAAATAAACCATGTCCTTGGAAATTCACAAAGAAATATAAAACGTGACTACTAAGGTAACTGTTCACTAACTAACTCTGGATTTTAGTACAACTTAATACTAGTGGGGCGCATGGCATCGTGCCTTAAGGAAAATTGCTGGAGCTTCCCGTACCAACAATTTTTTTTAAAGATTAACATTTTTGAAAAAAATTAAAAATTTGTATCCGCACACACACTCCCATACACACACATACATAATTTTTTTCTACGGTATGAAAAAATGTTCAGAAACCTCTGAAACGCAAAGATATATGAAAATTTTCATTTTCGATTTTTCTGCAATTACTACAACTTACCCCTACGGGAAGTTAAAAGTTTATTTGTGTTTTGCTAGAAAGTGTTCAAAAATTAAATATATTAAAAGATCCCGTCGTGGTTAAACACACTACCACAAATTAGTATCAAGTTCAATCCCAACTTCAGCCAGCTCGATATCAGGCAGCATGATATCAAATTTCTACTTGAGGTCATCCTTCGTGGATGATATAACCCACTAAGGTTTAAGGACTGGTTTGCCAAACTTACCCAAGTCAATATTTTACTATTCAATTAGTTTATTTTCATTCATTTATTTCTACAAAATCTATAATTAAATTTACCAGAATAACTATAGTCTGATTTTAATACGTATTTTGCTCTCATAAGAAAATTTCGTTTAATAATTTTCTGTTTAGGCAGAACTAATATTTGGACGCTGCATAAATATACAAAAGCAAACATATTTTTCAATATAGGCATGAGAAAAACGTCTATACATGTAGTACAAACTACAAAGTCGAAAAAATATATATTATAATTCAGAAAAAAAATTTGTTGGCTTAATATACTTTCATATTTAAATGTAAAATTACGTCTTTTGTAGATTAACAAATTATTAAATTTAAAATAATAATAATAACATCTATTTTCCTAGTAGGTTTCGTTATAAAATATAAATCATGAAATCATTAAATTTTTATGAAAACATGGACGAGATTTATAACTCTAAAGATTTGCAGATTTCAAATTCTAGGAGTATAGTTTGATATATAACACATTTAATAATTGTTATGAGGTTGCCCATTTATTCATAATCTAAATTTTGATAAAAGCTATATAAATATATTTTTAGCTATATTTGCTCTCGAACATCGTAACTTAGAATTTTTCGGGAGAGAACAACCTGAGGTCAATGTGTTTCAGCAATGCCCACAAAGGGCAATTTTCACTTGAAATTAAACCACAACTGAAAATTTGTTATCATACTGCCTGATATCGTGCGAATCTTGTCCTAATTCGTGCTAGTGTTGAGGCTCTATGTAAACATATTTAACTTTTGAAAACTTTTTAGCATAAATCAAATAAATCTTATTAAGTAGTACTGAAATCCAGCATTAGTTAATGGATAGTTACTTTAGTAGTAACGTTTTATATTCCTTTGTGTATTTTCAAAAAAGTGTTTTATTTTACTGATTACCTTTATAAAGAATATCACATCTAGGTCCAGAATTCAGAATTATTTTAATATTCGTAATATGATTATTTTTCATGCTTATCTTATGTGATTTTACTAATTTTTCTTACCAATATATTTTTTGACCTCAAGTTGAAAATCTCAATTTTTGTTGTATTTTGGTATTACACAACTATTAATTAATAAAATAGTTTCAACTCAATCGAATCAATACACAAAAACCTCTTTGCCAAGAGCTAAATACAAATTACAATAAAGGCATTAATTATCTTTTCTGATTTTCATTATAATGTATATCAAATTAAAACTTCAGTTCGTATTTCGAAGCATTATTTTCCAGCCATATTTTAATTAACTCTTTCAACAGTTTTTACTTCGATGTCAATAACAATAAGGTAGAAAAATGCATGATTTTTTTTTTCTAAAAGTCTAGAAAGTAAACTTGTTTTTATCTTAACACCATTAACGCCAATCGGTCATAATAATATTTTTCAAACTAGTGGGGTGCATGGCATCGTGCCTTAAGGCAAATTGCTGGAACTTCCCGTACCTCAATTAAAAATTTTGGTACGGAACCCAGAAAAATTTACACTGAACGTGTACACATTATTAAAATCTCTATAAAATATTTGATAATTTGATGTACATAAGTTCAATAAACATTTTTGACCGCCAAATGACATTTTTTTAACTTATTGTTATTGAGAGTCTATAATCGCTGGACCTGCCTTCCCAAAAATTTAATCAGTTATTCATCTTGTCAATATAAGTAAAATGTTTTTTCAATTATTAAAATCGGACGCTCCGTTCTCTTAAAATCTGAGTTACCGTTTTTGGCACTTTTTGTCCCGAATCTTCGGAACGGCTAGCCTGCCTTCGCTAAAAACTAATCAGCACGTCTCCTTATCAATACGAATCGAATGTTTCATGAATTATTAAAATTGGTTGATCGGTGTTCCCGAAATCGTCGACAAAAATTTGTATCCGCACACACACACAGATGCACACACATACACACACATACATCCATTTTTTCTAAACCTTACGGGAAGTACGTTAAATATATTTAATGAGTTTATTTGCTAAAACGAGGTATACCTAATTTAATAATGAGTAATACTTAATTCGATTATTTAAAGAAAAAAAAAATAGATATTATATCCCTAACGCAAATTATAAGATATAAAAAGGTCCTTTGGACATAAAATATTAGAAAAACCGACTGTTTAGGAAACAAGCTAGATTTTGAGGATACAAAAAATATCCGGCTCAAATTTTCAACAATTATCCTTATTTTTAAAAGGTTTATAGTTTTGGGCACCTCTGCTTTATTATTCTGACGCCCAACATGTGTAATATTCTTAATAAATCAAGATCTTGTTTTACCAGTTAGTTCGAAGTTTATTTATGTTTCGTTTAGGAAAATATCCCAGGCTAAAAATTTGAATTAAACGAATGTGAAAATAAACACAATCTTTTGATATTCAATATTAATCGATGTAGATGTTGAACGATGTTATGAAATGGCTCAAAATTTGAATTTCAAGAAACCGGTTTTTAAAATTGATTTGGTGGTTAAAATATTATTCTAGGAATATATATATATATATATATATATATATATATATATATATATATATATATATATATATATATATATATATATATATATATATTATATATATATATTTATATTATATATATATATATATATATATATATTTGAATAGTCTTGAAATTGATGTTGATATCATATGTTTAATTTGAGTTAAAAAGCATATCAGATTGATTGCTCTAATTGCGAACTTTTTTATATCGGAGAGACTAGCCAAAACCTGAGTAAACGCCTTCATCAATATAAAAATAACAAACAATTCAAAACGATGTTTACCGAGCATAAAAATAATTTAAATCATAATATAGATTTATCAACCCTAAAATTTCTCATTTTGAAAATAACATAATTAAAAGAAGATTCGCTGAGGGGTTGTTTTTGCAATTGCATAACGACAGGGTCATAAACAAACGATTCGACAATACGGTCCTGAAAGAAACAAACACGTGGTTTCTAAATAGCATATCAAAATTTCAATATCATGATAAAATCCCATCGATTTTTAAATTTCTCGTAAATTTGAACACATGCTAAAAACTGCTTCAAACAAAAATGTGACATTTCCATCTTAAACTCCGAACAGTAAACACATAGTTTCGACAACTTGTTAAGTTATCATGCTTATTTGTGTATTTTATCATCTGTGATGTAAAAAAATATATAGTTTACCAATGTGCACATACTCATACCATGGATTAATAATATTTTCATATGTTATATTAGGAAACAAAATTGTAAGTGTTTTTTTTTATTACTATTATTATTGTTTTTCTATGAAATTTCTTATATATTATTTATTTAGTTTTAATTGATTGCCACTAAATGAGTATATTAGCTCGCCAAAACGTACGGATTTTAAATAAGTTTCTAAAAACTCTCATACTATTTTATACTATAGTGCATATATTTCGCACTATTAATTCCAAAAAAAAAACAACAAATAATAATAACAAGAAATAGATATTACCTTTATGATCAATATATTTTTATTGATTTTTTTTTTAAATTTCAGGTTGCCAGTCCGGCTTGTACAGAATTAGAAACTATAGTTTTAGATTGGTTGGCAAAAGCAACAGGACTACCAGAAAGTTTTTTGTCCAGTAGTCCTGCTGGTGGTGGTGTCATCCAGGTAACCATTGAAAATTTGTAAAATTATTTATATAAATACTAGCAAACCCGACGAACTCCGTTTCGCCACCAGATGGTTTCGTGAGAAAGATGAAGAAATTTTTTGTTTGTTTTATATTTTAAAAGGAAAAATTTGATTTTATTATACAACAGTTCGAATTTATTTTGATTACAAAAATGAAGTGTTTTTTAGTTAAGCTTCTCTAAGGAAATGAAAGTGAATCCGCAAATTATCCGTTTCATGGAAGTGATCTTTGGTAAACCACATTTTTTGTTTTTTTGTCTGACGTTAACACAAACAAAGCGAATAGTTTCCCAACTCGTGAACAGGCAACGTATAACTGCCTATGTGAAATACAATGATTTTCTAAATAATCTATTTGAAATTTATCCCGCAAACATTAAGCGATTGGCCTTGCGACATGTTATTGCGAACGCAAGGCGAACTGGATATTGCAATCGTTTGAAGTCAAACGGAAGACCAGTCAGAATCATTGGTATGTCACCAAATCGCCAGCAATTTTTGATTGAATGGTGAAATTCAGGGCGTGTACATCATTATTCTTTGGCAAGAATTGCTCGTTGACTTAACCAAGCATAATTCTGATAATTCTCACTAATGTCATTACTCGATTTTTTAATTACGGTGCGTGAAGTTCCAGCAGCTTGCATTAAGGCACGATGCCATGCACAACTAATTTTCTTAGCTATAAACCTTGCGGAGCCCGAGACCTTTCCAACGAATGCAAAATTGTCGATATCGGTTCGTGCGTTCTGGAGTTATTTCGTCAGGAAGGAAAACCCGACTTATTTTTATATATATAGAAGATATCAAACTATCAAAATTATAATGATTATTTGTATATTATATATTATTGTATTGATATATGACTCTTGATTTACACAAGAACATATGAATTTATAGAGATAACGTACATAGGGTTGAAGATAGAGATTATATAGTATATTAGCATATTTTAATTAATCATTTGTAGTCAAAATTCCATTCATATATATATTCATTATAATTGCATGCTTTGAGTCATTTCCTAGAACCATAAATAAATTGGTATGAATACAACTAGTCAATACAAAACATGTACCTGATTTAAACAAAATGCCAAATATGTGAAAATTAATAAATTAATGTGCTTTCAAAAAACATCCAACGTTTATATATATGATCAAGGAATTTCGTACATGATATATATTTACTCATAACATTATAATTATAAAATTATCCAATAATTAAAATTAATTAGTTACGTAATATGCAATTAAAGCAATGCATTCAGAGGGATGTGGTTATTATATATTAGTTATGCAATCGTAAACACAAATGTGAAAGAAGAGTTTGGAATATAATTGATTTACTATAATTTAATAAATCTATAAACCAGAAAATAAGCTAGTTGTAAGTAGCCTCAAGGCAAGTTTTATTAGCTTCCCGATACATGTACATACAAAAATAAGAATTTCTTCTTAATCAATAAGAATTGAGATTCAGATATTTAGGTGAAATATACATACTGATATCTGTAACTGTATAAATTAAATTAAATTTGTTTAACACATTTGATTTCATCCATTAAAATGTATTTTATTTAAGTCAACTGTAATCAGTAGCTACCAACACGAATCGCTCAAATGCTTCGACTTAGATTCTGATTAGAATCGCCCAAGAACGCTTGAAAATTATAAAGTTTTATGAATTTTTATAATTCTACCGCTTATCGTAGGCCTATAACATTTTAGTGTGTTATATCAGAATACGAAATCTATTGTTATATAAAGTTTAAAAAAAAAATCGAATCCGCAAATTATCCATTTCATTGAAGTGGTTTGGTTTGGTAAACCACATTTTTTGTTTTGTGGTCTGACGTTAACATAAACAAAGCGGATGGTTTCCCAACTCGTGAACAGGCAACGTGTAACCGCCCTTGTGAAAAACAATGATTTTCTGAATAATCTATTTGAAATTTATCCCGCAAACACTAAGCGATTGGCCTTGTGGCTTGTTAATTGTCATTGCGAACGCAAGGCGAACTGGAAATTGCAATCGTTTGAAGTCAAACGGAAGACCAGTCGGAATCATTGGTATGTCACCAAATCGCCAGCAACTTGTGATTAAATGGTAAAATTCAGTGCGTGTACATCATTATTCTTTGCGGCAAAAATTGCTCGTTGACTTAACCAAGCATAATTTTTATAACTCTCACTGATGTCATTACTCGAATTTTTAATTACGGTGCGTGAAGTTCCAGCAATTTGCATTAAGGCACAATGCCATGCACCACTAATTTTCTTAGCTATAAACCTTGCGGAGCCCGAGACCTTTCCAACAAAATTGTCGAAATCGGTTCGTGCGTTCTGGTGTTATATCGTCAGGAAGGAAAACCCGACTTATTTTTATATATATGTAGATAATTTATCTAATAATTTATCTTTTCCCCAGGGTTCAGCTTCAGAATGTATCTTAACTTGTATGATAGCAGCAAGGGCACACACGATCGAAAGGCTGAAAGAGCAAATTTGCTGCAACGGCGACGAGGGAGCCCACGACAGCGTCCATTTGCCGCGACTTGTCGCATATTGTTCCCAAGAATCGCATTCGTGTGTTGAAAAGGCGGCAAAAATAGCTTTGGTCAAACTTAGGATATTGGAGGTAAATGGATAAAAAACTAGAAAAAAATCTTGAGCGAAACCTCTAATTTCTAAACTTAATAGTATTTCTAATTACGACCATCTTCTTTGAACCATACATGATAAAATATTTATTCTTTTTCTAGGTCGAAGAAGATGGATCTCTATCCGCGGAAACCCTAAAAAAGGCTATGCAAGATGATGTATCAAACAACCTAGTTCCATTTTTCGTATCAGTAACCCTTGGTTCAACAGCCTGCACAAGTTTTGACGATTTGTCTACAATAGGACCAGTTTGCAAAAGTTTTCCTGGTGTCTGGTTGCATGTTGATGCAGCTTATGCTGGAAGTGCATTCATTTGTCCAGAATTGAGATACTTGCAAAAAGGGATAGAATATGCAGATTCGTACAATACAAATACAAATAAATGGCTGCTGGTGAACTTTGATTGTTCTTGTCTTTGGGTGAGGGATAGATGGAAATTGACGAAAGGATTAGTTGTGGATCCTTTGTACCTGCAGCATGCCAATGATGATGAAACTATAGACTACAGGTAAAAAAAGTGATAATATATTTGAATTTTTTGTTTGTTTGTTATCATCACCCTGGTGTAAATAATAATTAGATTCTCCTTTATCTCAGGCATTGGGGAGTTCCATTAAGCAGAAGATTCAGATCTCTCAAACTCTGGTTCGTGTTACGAAAATATGGAATAGAAGGTTTAAGAGGCTACATACGGAACCACATAGATCTAGCAAAAATTTTCGAAGCACACATAGTTAAAGATTTGAAATTTGAACTTATGAACAATGTTCGATTAGGATTAGTCTGTTTTCGGTTAGCAGGATCTGACAAAATGAACCAACAGCTTTTAGATCACGTTCATAACAGTGGACAATTATTTATGGTACCTGCCAAAGTACGAGGAAAATTTTCTATAAGGTTTTGTGTGGTGTCGGAACATGCTACGGCAAGGGATATAGGTAGGAATCAGATGCATCAAGTGTGTTAATTATCTGTTAATTTATTTAATCACTTACTGGTTTTATTTTAGAAATTGCGTGGGAAACAATAAACGCAGCAGCCTACGAAGTTCTGAAAACAGGTACTCCAAAAACACCAGAACCAACTATCGCAAACAGACCACCTCATCTACGTCCATTTGGGAGGCAACTTTCACGGCAATTTTCATTTACCAGAAGTGTTTCCAGAGAGGTATATAAAAGGGAACATAGTAAGAGCAGTTTGCACGATGGAGCAACACCGATTTTGGTCCCGGAAGATGAAGAAAATTGTGGGTTGGACGATTGTGATTATTATGGGAATGATAGTAGTTGTGCAGATACTCCGAGGACGCCAGATTTTGAACAAGAGTAAGATACATTATAATGATATTATCTTTATCAACATAATATACTGGTAGGATTTCAAGCACAATATTCATATTTACTATTAAGAATATTTAAAAGAAAAGAGTGCGCGTAAGGTTCACGCGCGATTAAAGTAAAACTTATTTGCTACCGTACAAGATGGCATTTAAGTAAAAATAAATACATCTTATAACAATTTTGAATAATGTTTATTAGTAATATGGTAACACTCGTGATGCACATATTTATTAGGGTCAACCATTATAGACAGTTATATAACGATAAATTATAAATTATATATTTATAATAGTATTAAAAATATGTATAATATTTAACAACAATGATGTAATAAGGGTCATACTTCAAATATGACATGATCGGTCTGTCATTGTAATTAGCATTTAGAAATGAACCTTCATTATAGAAATGAAGTAATTGCTGGCTAATAAACTCTATAATATTCGTTCACATATTCTATAATATTCGTGGATTATGTTAAAAAACGTCTGAACAAATATTGTTTGCGCAACTTCACTCATCATGTAATTGTATTTGAAAAACTTCATGTAATTAAAATTAACATACATTCATTGACTGCAGTTCAAAAATATATGTAAAATAGCTTTTTGATTTGTATTATCATTAAAATGCAGGAAAATTCGTTAACTGGATAAAACACGACTTTTAGCAGAAAATAATGAAATTGAAATAAAATAAATAATTTAAAAAAAAAAATAGTATGAAACAAATTATTCTTCCAGTAACTTATTCAAAGATCTATGCGAACAATTTGGAAGATTTACAAAATTGGCTCTGTGTTTTTCCAAGACACCAAAAAAATATTGACACGAAAAAACATATAGTTGTATGTAAAAATATGTATAAAATTTACACAATACAGCTTTGATGTTTATATTATAATTCATTTTTATTTTATTTTTACAGATTTCAAGACTTTGATAGTGTTCGATCTTAATTGATTTAAATGTTTAGTGAAGGACGAGATATTTTTTGGAAGTTATGATGGAAAATGCTATCACTAGGTGGAAAAAGGAGTTATAATATTTATTTATAAATTATATAATATTTTCCAGAAATCTCTTCAATCCAAAACTTCATAAAGATTCTCGACAGATCCATGTTGTTTTTTAAAAAATCATATTTTCAAAGCAAAAATTTTTAAAGCACATATTGCTAAATAAAAAAGCCATACAAATATATTTGTAAATTGTATAAGAATCACTCCTTAACTTAACTAGAAATCACTCCTTGATCAGTGTTCCCGAAATCGTTGACGAAAATTTGTATCCGCACACACACACATACATTCATTCATTAAGCTATGCCAAAATGTTCAGAAACCTTTGAAACGTGAAAATATATAAAAATTTTCATTTTCAATTTTTTTGCGATTACTATAACCTGCCCTACGGGAAGTTAAAAATATCAGAAAATAAATGAATATAAATTAATATCTACAACAAATTGCAAAAATACTTTCGAAATGAAAATGATTTAATATAAAAGGATAAGTAATACAGTAAATTAATATTTTGCAATAAATAGGCAAGACTTATTTAAATTTTAGCCTTTGTTTACAAATATGACAGCTGAAAAATCATGGATCCTACACATAATTCTAATTATAATTGTAAGTTAAATTTCCATTTATAAAGTAAATTCCTATTAGACATTATTTACTTCTTATTCATAAGAACCTCATTTAAAATAAGTGTAAGTTAAATTAGAATAATATATTTTACATAATATTCTGTAAACCTTAAAAATTTTGACATACCTGTAGAATAAACCGATTTAGTTGGCTCAGCTTTGTATTTTATTAATAAACACCTTGATAACAACACTGTAATATTCTCATTACTGCACTAATTGTTTTATAAGATCAACACTAATTAATTAAATGTATATGATAATTAAATAAAATTAATTTGTATGCATTAAAAAAACACGTGGTGCACTTTGTTGGCTCTGGGTAAGAAATGCATTGTAAAGGTATGGCCACACATGCAAGATTGGAAAGGATTGTTGTCACAGAATAAATTTTTGACAGGAAAAATAATTCATAAAAGAAACTAGTGGGGAGCAATTTACCTTCAGAAATTGCTGGAACTTCCCGTACCGTAATTAAACATTCGAGAAATGATAATAATCAATAATTGTTTTGAATAATTTCAACTAGAAGAAGTTTTTTTTTTTTTTTTATTTTTGACTATTTGGAAATTTTTGAAAAAATCCGGTTTTTTTTTGAGAATTTCGAAATATTCTCAAATTATTGTAATAATTAGTTTTTTCTTGATTTTGATGTTTTTCAAATTTTTTTGAAATTTCGTTTTTTTTTTATTATCAATTCTAAGTATTTTATGCTTTCCACTTCTATTTCTCTATTATTTACTTTAATATTTAGTTTAGTGTTCTCGGTATTTTTTCTATGTTTGAAATATATGTATTTTGTTTTATCGATGTTAATTGTTGGTTTATTTTCAGTTAGTCTCTCGGTGTATATTTTCATGTCCGTGTTTATAGTCTGCATATAATATATAACTTCCCTTTAATTTTGCGTCTTTAAGGTTATTGATGTATAATAGATATAATAAAGGTCCTAATACAGAACCTTGTGGGACTCCACGGGTTATGCTACATCCTTCACTTGTGAAATTTCCCACCCTCGTCCCTACCACCCTTTCCATGAGGAAATCTTTGATAATGCTGTTTTAGTTTAATTTTAACGAAAATCGCACTTATAAATAATAATCTTATAACAAATACAAGTTTTTGTTAGATCATCTCGCTATAGGTTAACTTTGATCATCAAAAATCTTTTGATTAGAAAATAAATTATACAATTTTTTCTCAAATATCCACTTCCTTTATTAAGAAAGCAAAAATAAAACAGTATTTGTAAATTTAGGTCACATATTTTATTTTTAACAACTTTAGTTTACAACATATCATTTTACAATAGTAACCTAAATTTCAAAAAAAAGCCTGAGCGCTTTTTTCTAGTTTTTTCATATGGACTATGAAGATATATAGGATATTTATCCTTTCTCTGAAATATGTTTACAATTATGTTATGAAAAATTATATGAAATTCAAGTTAAAATAATTTAATAATAAGTTAAGTAGATATATCAAGATCACAATTGTAATACCTCTTATTGTGAAATATTGCGATGATAAAAACCTGTTCTAAATGTGCTTCAACAAGCAGCTCATGATTCTTTTAAATATATGATGTATATTTACATATATGGATAATAATTTAAAAAAATACAAATTATTTAAACTGTGATAAATAGATTCTAAATTTTACTAATACATCTCTTCGCACTATGCATGATTTTAAAAAAGTGTGCGATTTCACCATTTTCATAGTTAAGTAATAAATATAGTTATATATCAAATCATTAACCATTGTTATCAAAACATTTTCAAACCTGGCCAGCTGATTTGTGCAAGGCTGCAGTTTCTAGACCTGGTGCTGGCTTAGCAGCAAATTCAGCAAGCAATTTTTTGATTTCTGCAATAGCTCTTCCAGGATTCAATCCCTGAAAGCAATAAAAGGATGACAATAATAATAAAATTATTATTATTACTATGAGTAAGTACTATTTTACAAACCTTGGGGCATGTCTTGGTGCAATTCATAATAGTGTGACAACGGAAAACACTGAAAGGATCTCTCATTTTGTCCAATCTCTGCTTGGACATTTCATCTCTAGAATCAATAATCCAGCGATAGGCTTGCATTAATACAGCTGGACCCAAATATTTATCTCCATTCCACCAATAAGATGGGCACGAAGTGGAGCAGCATGCACACAAAATACATTCATATAAACCATCTAATTTTGTGCGGTCTTCAGTGCTCTGGAGAAATTGAGCTTCACCACTTTGGGCCTCCTCTCTGAAGATAGAAGAATTATTGAAATTTAAAATTATTTTTACAGTCATGATAGAAGAATTATTGAAATTTAAAATTATTTTTACAGTGTTGCATAGTTTAATGTAGAACCTACTTTCGTTGAAGCCATGGCTGAATGGATCGATATTGATTGTAGAAATTTGTCATGTCAGGAACCAAATCTTTCACAACATACATGTGGGGCAATGGATATATTTTAACTGGTTTGCTCAGATTATCATCAATTTTGCTAAAGAAAGTAATACATAAATACTATATCATAATAATAATAAATTAGACAATTTTGTAGAAGTATATTTTATAATTATAATATGATATAAGTAAATATATTTTACCTGATGCAAGCCAAAGTATTACAACCACCAATATTCATGGCACATGAGCCACAAATGCCTTCCCGGCATGATCTACGGAAAGTCAGAGTTGGATCTACTTCATTTTTAATTTTGATCAAAGCATCAAGCACCATTGGACCGCACTTGTTCAAATCCACATTGTAATCCTAAAAAGAAATATGAGCTTAATTGACTGAGAACATTCATCTTCAGATTATCTATAGAAAGATCAAGTAGAAATTATGCTATATATATATATATATATAGATATATATATTATATATAATATATATAATTTATTATTTATTTGATATAATTTGTACATACTGTATCTCAGTCAGACTATTGTTCTGGTATGAAAGATGACAGCAATTTTAACAAAAATAAATCTAAATTTTATGTAACAGACTTACATTAAGACATCTATATATTTTTACTTATTACTATTATATACACAGAACGTTTGCGTACATACATATGTACCTATACTTAATTGTAATTAATATATACATGTAGATAATTCTACCTGCATAGTTGGTTTTTGATTTGGTTTGTCGGGTTCCATGTAGATCGAGAACTTTTTCATTCGAGGTGCTTTTTCTGTTTGTACATTTGCCTTAGCAGCCGGTGCTGCAGAACTTATGGCTGGCGAAGAGTGAAAAATACGAAACTAAAAAGTAATTAGTAAGTGTACTACAATAAGATGGAAAGTATTCAACAATAAACAAGTCTTCAACAATTAGGTAGAAAGAATAAGAATTACATGTACAATAACAAAGATAAAAATAACATATGAGGTGTCCTAACCAAACTTCTAACAACTTATACAACCAAAATATATATTTGAATACAATATATTATACTTATTCATTCAAATAATTTATTAACAATAACCAATTATCAAAATTATTACATATTGCACAAATTACTTAACTAAATTATTTAAAAGTTATGTAACTTAAATAACAAATTATACACTTGCAATAATCAAAAATGTTTTACCTGCGTATAAGAATTTTTAAAGACCTTCATCATTTTAATTTCGGAGGACATTGTACACTAGTTTTACAGAATATTATTACTTTTTAAAATATAAAAATTGCCAATAAGTTCATACAAAAGTGACAGCTGTGCAGGACAGCATAGATATTCTGTCAAAGAATTTTATCGACAGGCGAACATGAACATATTTTATTAAATACCTGGCTTATCAAATGTATGTTGTTATAAATATATAATTAAAATAATAACACATTAGTTGCTAAATTAAACAATCTTAGGAATAAATTCAATTTTTTTTTAGTAGCAAGTTTTTTAATAAATTTGTCGTTTTATTTTTGTAATGGTATTTTTAACAAAGTTTTTGCCGTTTTATTTTTGTAAAATTTTTGAAGATATATATTAGGCTTGCAACAAATAATATGTTTGGCAAAATGCCGACTACCGAATATTCGGCATGCTTTAGAGACCGAATACCGAATATTCGGCAAGTTTTTGGCGCCTCAGCTCGTTTGTATTAATGTAATTACTATCAGTAATTGTTATATTTATTACTAACTTACATGTTTATTCAAGTTTTATGCCTAGACTTGCAACCACTATTCATCAACTCTTTATTATTTGGAATATTTGGCATCATTTATACTATTCGGCCGAATATCGAATACTCGAATACCACATGTGATAGGGAAATAAATGGTACAATCATGAAGAAAACGATTTTTTACATATATGTAAAT